CGCTACGATTAATTCGCATGGAGTGTTTATAGAGCACACTGTGCGGAGTACACGCTTTTAATAATGTATGTACATTGGAATATATATGCAGATACCGGTACATGTACTATATGTAACTTGAAACATATGTACATGCATATGTCTGCTCATAAAGTTGTTCAATTTTTGTTTTTAGTCACCACCAAAATCGACCAATATCGCAAATAAGGGGGACCTGTGCCCTCGAGACTTTAACATTTTCCATATACATACATATCGTCGATATTTTTGCAGAACCGCCCATCGACTAGTTGCAAAACCGCCTAAATCGCCGCTGTGGCAAAAATGAGATTTGGTAACCCTGAACTCCAGGTATCGAGATTTATGCATAAAAATCGTTATTAAAACAACAGATTTGTAAAATAATACCTAGAGAAAATACCGACTATCAAGGCAATGCCTTCAAAAATTGTTTGATCGAATAAAAGTATTAACTTTCAGAAATCTTAAAATAACAAAATTATAATGCATACTTAATTTTACCATTTTATTAACCACTTTTTCATAACCGATAACACAGGCCAACAAAGGCAGAAGCAGAAACACTAACATACATTACCCAAGGATTGTAGTTCGCTGAATCCGAATCTGCCCTCTGGAATTACCCCATAGCGTCAGGTTTTTGAGTTAAACTAACCTAACAGTGCAAAAAAGCAGTGTTTTTTTTTACTTATTTGAGGTTGTGTAGCATCGCAAATAAATTTTTCCACAGAAAACTAGTCAAAGCAGCTTAAAAAACAAATCTTCCTCTTTCGAATGCCGTCGGGTTCGCCCAAATATCCATTTCTTTCGCGGAGATATCTGATTTGGAAATTTTAATATTTATGAATTACTGTACATTCGAAAATCCTTTTGAATAATACATCTTTCATAAAACGCGACATTTCGGCGGAAAAAAATTGGTACCCTGGGGCACGATTGGCAGCCAAAAAATTCCAAAACGTTTATTTTCCTGTGTATTTTTGGACCACCCTAATGCAAATATGCACTTATGTAGTATATACATATGTATGCATGTATGTATGTATACAAATATGAATATTTGCACAGTTCTACGTACGTACATACATATGTACACACATAACTACATACTTTTATTGTAGTATTTCTCTACCGTTTTGTTGTCGCATATTAAAAACATTCCAATTCTATGTCTCACATTGGGACGCAAAAATAAAATGACTGTTTTAATGACGTTGTTATATTAACTTTAGCAGATTCTGAAAAAAATAATAAAAGAATATTTACGGGAGAAAATCCATGCGGCACACAGTGTAAGATTTGACCCATCTAGCTGCTTTTAATTCTGTAATTCGAAAACTATTGAAGATAGATTAATGAAATTTTGCACAAGGTACGTTATAAGATAGGCGAAGCTTTTTTTTTGTTGTAAATTTGATGTGGAAAGAAAAACTTTGTAGCTCTCATTTTTTAAGAAAAAATGGTATGTAGTGCTAACTTGACACCATACACCTAGTCGATAGAATCGAGATATTGAAAATGTTATAACGGCATTAATTGTAGCTTTTTTGTTGTAAAATTGTTGTGAAAAGAAAAAAATTGTGGCTTTCGTTTTTTAAGAAAAAATGGAATGTAGTGCTAACTTGACACCATACACCTAGTCGATAGAATTGAGATATCCAATATGTTACTATGCTATTAATTGTAGCTTTTAACTTTAAAATTTGTTGTGAAAAGAGAAAATATTTAGATTTCGTTTTTCTGCCTCCACCGCGATTTGAACTCCCGACCAACGTTGGTTGAGTTGGAGGTCCTCTCGCTGAGCTACTTTCGTATTGTACGAGTAGTGAGCATTTGCACATTTACACCGCAAGTTTAAACTGTCCCGCTTTGCATTCCTTTTGCACTAGTTCAGAGGTGTATGGTGTCAAGTTAGCACTACATACCATTTTTTCTTAAAAAACGAAAGCCACAATTTTTTTCTTTTCACAACAATTTTACAACAAAAATTCTACAATTAATGCCGTAGTTAACTTTTCCATTCTCAAAAAGTGTAGTGCTAACTTGACACACGTAATTAAACATTGAGATTCAGTTTCAAATATACAAGTTTAAATATTATTGCGCTCAGTAATTTTCCAAATCAAACCCCGTCCCGCCATACACTTTGATTTAAATTTTTTAGTTGTTATTGTTTCGTCTTTATCAGGCATTTCTAAAAACATTCTTGACGTTGTTTTGAAATTTGGCGACATAAAATAATGTAATTAATCTTTTCTAGAATATGGAAATGATACACTGTGCGGCAGTGGAAACTTATGTATGTTACAAAAATCAAATAAAAACCTTTTTAATAAACCACATTTCAATAAATCTACTAAAAAGTAAAAAATATTTTTCACAGAATTGGTCTTGATACGTTTTGATATCAAAATCTTAGCTAAGGTAAACACATAACACATAACATAAAGCACATAATTGCGGGGTAGTACGTAATTCCATTGAATCTGATTTTTTCATTTAAATAAGGAATTGGTAGAACGTTTAATCACATCAAAAATGCCAGCATAAACTTTAGTTTTTAAAAGCTAATACTGTCGGCCGCCGTG